GGCTGGCCTGGAACTCAGAGAGTGCTGGGACTAAAGGTGTGTGCTGCCACACCCAGTCTTTTGATTTTATGTATATGAGTGATTTTTTTAGGGTCTTTTTGAGACAGGGTCTCTCTAGCCCCAGCTGTCCTGGAACTCACTATGTAGACCAAGGTGGCCTTGGACTCACAGAGATCCACCTGCCTCTGCCTTCTGAGTGCTGGGATTAAAGGCGTGCGCCACCAAGCCCGGCATGTATGAGTGTTTTGCCTGCATGTATGTAAGTGCACTTGTGCCATGTAAATGCCCGAGGAAACAGGAAGAGGGCACTGAATCTCCTGGAACTGGAGTTAGGTTGTGGGTGCTGGGAACTGAGCTAGGGTCCTTTGCAAGAGCAGCCAAGTGCTCTTAACCACTGAATTGTCTCTCCAGTCCCTCCCCAAAATATTCTTTAAAAAATTATTTTTATGTGTATTATAAGTGGTTTGATTGCTGGTATGTTTACTGGTATGGGTGTACTGCCCATGAAGGGAATCAAACCCAGGTCCTCTAGAAGAACAAGTGAGCTTAATCCCCAAGCCACCTCTCCAGCCCTCTTTTTTTTTTTTTTTTTTTTTTGAGACTCTGTCTCCCTGTAGCCCTAGGTGGCCTGGAACAAGGTTGGCCTCAATCTCACAGAGATCTGCCTGCTTCTGCCTCCCAGCTGCTGGGATTAAAGGCATGCCTGACAAGTCTCCCCTAATCTTTAAAAAAATATATTTTTAATGTGTATGAGTGTATTACCTGCATGTGTGTAAGTGCACCTGTGTTGTGCAGTGTCCTTGGAGGAAGAAGGCATTGGATTCCCTGGAACTGGAGTTACAGATGGTTGTTAGCTGCCATATGGGTTCTGGGAATCGAACCCAAGTCCTCTGCGAGAGCAGTCAGTGCTCTTAACCACTGAGCCATCTCTCCAGCCTCTCCTCTAATATTCTTGATCTGCAGTTGGTGCAGAACCTGAGAATGGGGAGACCAGACTGGCAAGGTGGAGTGGATGGGGGAGCTCAGTAAACAGGCAAGGGACACATGGTAAGGCTGTTGAGAGTCCTTGGAAGTATGTGCTTATATAGGGTGTAGCAGGTGCCCAGTGTAATACTCTTCAGTCATGTCGAGTGGTTTGGCGCCAACCCAGAACCGGTAGATAGTTGAATTCAGTCAGGCTGGGAGATTGATCACATCTGTGCTACTGAGAGGGAAGCTGAGTAAGGTTCTTTGTCAGGGAGTGAGTATGACAATGGTACTCTTCCTACAAGTAGATACTACCTTCACATTTCAGTTCTTAGCTGGGAGTGGTGGCACACACCTACAATCTTAACACTTAGAGGCTCAGGCTGAAGGATGAGTTCTTGTTCAGATGAAATTTAGTCTGAGAGAGTCCTGTTGTCTGTTACCTGTGTGTACTGCCTATAGGTAGGCTATGCACCCATGTAACTCAGGGATCAGTGTGTGGACAGTGTGTGAATGCAGGATGCTTCCAGTGCCAGGGAAGGACTGGAGTAGTAGTTGAAGCTCAGCAAGCTTGCCAGCAAGTAGGTGTCAGGGATCATGGAACTCACACACTAATCCATGCTCCCTGTTCAAGTCCTCTGCAGTCTGGACAGATTATCCTTACTAGTTATTTCCATTGATGAAAGCTCAGCTTTGTCCAAGCAGCAGCTCATTGCTAGAACCAAGTCTGCAGCTCAGGTCTCTCGCAGGCTGGGCTTGGCTGCTTGTGGCTTTTCTTTTTCCTGATAGACCTTGAGTTCAGGCAGAGAAGTTGCAAAATAGGCAGATGTGAATGTAAGCTGTTTTGCCCAGTAAATAGCCTCTAAAGGATCCTTTCCTTGTTTGATTGGGTTATTTTTGTTTGCTTATTTTTTTTTAATTTAAAAAAGTTTTTATTATTTTTATTTTAAGTGTATGCATATATTGCCTGCATGTAGGTAAGTGCACCCATGTCGTGGTGCCTATGCTTAAAACTCAGGGTCCATTGGGAATGGTCAGGTTGGCACAGAGGTGCCCTGCCCCCATTAGTCCAAGCCCTCTTATGCTTGAGTTCTTTCTTAAATAGATTATTTTCTATTGTACCTTAAGGAGAGGATTTGGGTGAGATTTTTTTTTCTTTTGGTTATTTTTGAGACAGGGTCTTCCTGTAGCCCCACCTGGCCTGGAACTCATTATGTAGACCAGGCTGGCCTTGAACTCACAGAGATTCACCTGCCTCTGCCTCCCAACCTCCCACGTACTAGGATTAAAGGCATGCGCCACCACACCTGGCTGGTTTTTTTTAGACAGTGTCTTGTGCAGGCTGCCCTAGAACTCACTTTGTAGCCCAGGCTGACCTCAAAGTTGTAGCAATTCTCAGCTTCAGCCTCCCTAGAGCAGGGATTACAGGTGAGAACCACCACACCCACACTGTTTTCCTTTTTTTTGTTTGTTTGTTTTTTTATTTTGTTTTTGTTTTCCTTTTGAGACAGGGTAGTAGCCCTGTAGCCCCAGTTGGCATGGAACTCACTATGTAGACCAGGCTGGCCTGGAACTCACAGAGATCCATGTCCCTCTGTGTCCTGTGTGCTGTTTGCTTGTTTTGTTTTTGTTTTTGTTTTGTCTTTGTCTCCCTGTTGCCCCAGCTGTCCTGGAGCTATGTAGACCAGGCTGGCCTTGAACTCACAGAGGTCCGCCTGCCTCTGCTGTCTCCCAAGTGCTGGGATTAAAGGCATCTACCATCATACCCAGCTCCCTCTTAAGGGTTTTAAGCCAGAATATATATGTTATGTATATTATATATTTTAGATTCTATTTATTATAGTATATATTACATAAATATACAAATGTAAAAACAATTAAATCTTGATTTTGAAATACTATATTGGTTCTCCATCCCAGTATTATTTCTTATTTTGATAAACTGTCTTTTAAAAAATTTATTATTTATTATTGTGTGTGTGGACACGTATGTATGGGTGCATGTAGAAGTCAGAGCACAACTTTGTGGACTCAGACAACCTGTGTTTGATCCTTGGAATCCATGTAAAGTTCGAAAGAGAACTGTCTTATTTTATGAGACAGGATTTCATATAGCCCAGGCTGACCTTGAACACCTGCCCTCACTTCTCAAATGTCAAGAGTCCAGGCCTACATGGCCACAACCCTTGATAAACTGTCTTTAAAAATTTTGGTGGGGAGGGGCAGAGAGATGGGTAAGGGGCCAAGAGCACTGGCTGCTCTTGCAGAGGACCTAGGTTCAATTCCCAGCCACCTGCAGGGCGGCTGACAACCATCTGTAGCTGTAGTTCCAGGGGATCCAACACCCTCTTCTGGCATCCATGGGCATGGCACACACATGTAGATCTGCACGTCTCAGTAGGTCTGTCGGAGATTTGGGCATCCACAACCCTTATGTTTCCTTCTGAAAGTCATAAAGCAACCAGCATTGTGAAGAACAATAGAAAGAGGAATGAGAGGGGCTGGAGAGATGGCTCAGCAGTTAAGAGCACTGGTTGCTCCAGCAGCGGACTGGGGTTTGAATCCCAGCACCCACATGGTGGCTAACAGCCATCCATAACTCCAGTTCCAGGGGAATCCAACGTCCTCATTTGACCTCCGCAGGCATTGCACATCACAGGTGCACTTACACACACACACAGGCGAAACACTCATTCACATAAAAACGAAAATAATATAAATTTTTATGTGTATGAGTATATTGTCTGCCTGTGTGTAAGTGCACCATGTGCATGCATTGAAGGAAGAGGCCCAAAGAGGGCGTCAGATTCCCTAGAACTGGAGTTATGGATAGTTGTTAGCCGCCATGTGGGTGCTGGGAACTGAACCTGGGTCTTCTGCAAGAGCAGTCAGTGCTCTCACAGAGCTCACAATCTAGTGGAGGAAGATAGTCATTGATATGAGACTCCCCGATACATAATTGCCTCTACATTAAGTGATTCAAAGGAGGGGTAGCTGCTCCGCATGGTTAGGCATGCTCACAATCCCAGTACCCTTGAGGTGGAAGCAGGAGAATCATAAGTTAGAGAGCAGCCTGAACTACATAGGTAATTCACAGCCAATCAAGCCTACCCAAAGTAGGATAGTTAATGTTAGAATGTATAAATACAGCAGCTGAGGCTGTTTGGAAGGTTGCTGCAGTTAAACTGGCAAAAGAGCTTGCCAGAAAGATTATGAACCGTCCTTAACTCCAGTCCAGGGGAATCCGAAACTCTCTTCTGACCTCTGCGGCATTGCACGACATGGGTGCACTCACATACATGCAGACAATACACTCATATACATAAAATAATAAAAAATAAAATATTAAGGGGCTGGAGAGATGGCTCAGCAGTCAAGAGCACTGACTGCTCTTGCAGAGGACCCGGGTTCGATTCCCAGCACCCACATGATG